AAATACAACATCAAACGAAAATATTTTAATAATAAAATTTGTAAGAAGAGAAAAAAAAAAATTAGATTGGAGGGAATGGTTTGTCTGCCCTGTGTTTTCGGATGAATTTGAGCATAGTGTAGTTAATACTATAATTAGAGATACAATTAAGTTTAAGCGCATTATTCTAAGGGATAATTAGGCCCAATACACTCAAAAACTAACGAATTAGAATAATACTCGTAAAACTAATTAAAACTCTCCCCCGTAATTAATATGCTCAAATCCTCCCCAACCCTCAAAACCTTAGAAAGTCCCAAATCAGAACCCAGGAATCCAGCTGAAACTCCCACCACAAAAAAATTTAATTTTGGTTCACTGTCATCTCTATTGTTTGATCTGGCTCATCAATGTTGTTTGTTCTTGCACTCGCCGTCATAGGAGCGGTGGCTGCCAATTCCTTGTCAAGCATCTCTCCATTTTCATAACATGTACCTAAATCATCTTCCCATAAAGCTGCACCATCGTCGAAGGAAAGTAAGACCTCCCGACTGTGCACCCCAAAAATCCTCGACAGTGCCTGCACCTAAATCATTGTCCCCAACACCGACACCGAAATTCACTAGCTAATTAATCACACCATTAACAGTTACTAATATAACATATTAGAGACCACATATTCAACAATTAACGGTGCTAAAAAAAATCACTCAATTTAGTATTAATATTAATATTTCAATCCAGAAATCTAATTTAACAGTAAAAATTACCTCGAGTTTCTGAACAGCAGTGGCCTCAGAAACGTCGGCGATGCTCATGAAAGTCGATATTTCCCCTTGACTAGCTCTCGCCATTTTTTCTTTAAAAAAAATTATTTTTCTGAATGTTTTTTGGGTTAAAACTATAAAACAGAAAACTTCAATTTTATTTGTTTGCTTCAAATAATATTCTAATTTGTTGGTTGTGTTTTGTGTAGTGTGAAATTTGAGAAGAAAAAAGGGATTAAATTCTACAAAGGTGGATGATTGCATTTACAGGTTTGGTAAATAAGATGAAAGAGACCGCCCCTTGTGTAATATTCCAAACTCGCACCCCAACTTTTTCCCTTTCTCTTGTATTGTGCTTCTTGTGGCTTTTGAATTTTTCATAACATGCATGACCTTAATTGTTAGAGTGATTGAATTTGCATAAAATGATATATTTTAAGATTTTGATTGATGTTTTGTCATTTTTTTTTAAATTTATGTCACTTTTTTGAGTACGTCACTTATTTAATAGCGTTTTGTCACTTATTTTATTATTATTTTTCAATTTCTATCGCTTTTTGAGTGACAAACATCTCTCTTTAATAAAAGTGAGATTTAACTTTATAGAGTATTTTTTACTTTCAAAAGTTTTTTATATGATTAATGGGTTAGTTGAGTTGGTTGATGATGGTGGCAGTAAATTGACTTAAAGATGTTTGACATTTTGGTTAGTTTTTTGTTAGTGAACCGACTTAAAGATGTTCGGCGATGAACGGAGAAAGAGAAGGGACAATGGCCGTGTCAATTTTTTGTTACTTTATTGAATTGATTCCAATAAAGTAATTGGTGTTTTGTCACTTTTTTTAATATTTATCACTGTTTTTTTTCTATCACTTTCTTGATATTTTTGTCACTTTTTTGAATGACAAAAATCACTTTTTAATAAAGTATGTCAATTTTTAATTAAAAAAAAAGTGATACTTAACTTTTTCTATTTTTATAAAAAAAAAAAAGTGACATTATGTCAATGTCACTTTTTTATTAAAAAAGTGACACTTGATTTATACAGTAATAAAAAAAGTGACACTTGATTTTATACAGTATTTTTTATTTCTAAAATACTTTTCATATGATTTTTCAAAAGACTCATAATTTTATGGGTATTTTTTTAAGTTGCCCAAGTTTTCCTACAGTTTATACTTTGAGGAAATTAGGCCTAATGCTCTAACAATTGACCAAATTAGATTAATACCCTAACTTAATTAAACATCACATAAATTCTCGTATTAATTACACTCTAAACTAACAAATCCACAAAACTTCAAAATCTCCTAGCCCACTAAATACAGAGATCATAAACACCGTTGTGCGCCACCCATCGATTCCTTGTCGAGGGGCGCTTCTCCTTCAACAAAGATTTTAAAAAAATCGAGCCTGAATGGAATTGACCAAGATTTGGAGAAAATATTCAAATGTCAGAGGCTTTGTAGCTGAGAAAGTGGGAGGAGGCTATTCAGTAGCCATTGCAGGTTATATTGTTTTTTTTCCAACCCTTCCTATTATAAGAAGAAGGGTACCAAACAATGGATTCATCATTGAGAGCATTAACCCGAAAACAATGAAAATTGTGGTGGTGAAAACTCGATAACTAGTTTCCATTGCAATTCATACATTTGGAATGAGTCTAAGCTGTCGATCCAAAAGAAATGAAATTAAAATTTGAATTTTGCAACAAAACACACAAAAAATTTAATTTAATTTATTGTGCTAGATGTGAAACCATTGGTGGTGGTGGTACAATTGGTGGAAGTGTTGGTGGTAAAACTACTGGTGGTGGAGATACTGCCGAAGGAAGTGCTGGTGGTGGATATGGCAATGCTGGTGGATGGGATGGACTTGCTACTGGATTTGGCGAAGGTTATGGTGGTGGGTCTTGAGGTGGCTGATTGGTTGGGTTCGAATTTGGTATAGTTCTAGGTGGTTGATTATGTTAAGAACCCAATTACTGGTGCTGCACAAATTGATAGTGTTATAAGCTACTTTTTGATTGTTGTATGTTACAAACATGTTTTTAATCATTATCACATGTCTAATGGATATTGGGGAATTCTAAATCTGCTTCGGAACAATCCACTCAACTTTAGAAAAAGATTTGGTGAATCCATGTTTTTACTGGCTGCAAAGTGGAGGGTGGTTACGACTTTAGTCTTCTTATATATCTTTCAATCTGTGTAAGCTACTGATGGAATTGACATTATGCCTGTTGGAGGCTTTCTTGCATGTATTGGTCTTGAGAGTCCTACTTTCTTTTGTTTCTTTGAAATGACTTCAACCAAACTTACTATGAATGTTTTGTTTTCGATTGGTGTTTTGTCACTTTTTCGAATGTTTGCAATTTTTTTTAACTTTTTGTCACTTTTCTGAACATTTGTTACTTTTTTCTATTGTTTGTTACTTTTTTTTTAAATTTCTGTCACTTTTTTAGTGACAAATATCACTTTGTAACGAAAGTGACATTGTGTATCATTTCACTCTTTAATGAAAGAGATATTATATGTCATTTTTTTTTATTAAAAAGTGATATAAAGTGACATTACACTTAACTTTTTATTAAAAAGTGATACAACGTCACTTTTATTAAAAAGCGATACAATTCACCCAAAAAAGTGATCGGTGTTTCGTCACCTTTTTTTTTTAGTGGTCACTTTTTTGAGTTTTTATCATTTTTTTTTTATTTCTGTTACTTTATTGAATTCCAAAGTTTTGATTGGTATTTTATCACTTTTTTTAGTCGTCATTTTTTTAGTTTTTGTCACTTTATTAAACTGATTCTAAGGTTTTGATTAGTGTTTTGCCACTTTTTGAATGTTTACCACTTTTTGAAATTTTTTGTCTTTTTATATAATAAATGTTTTTCATTTTTTCCTATCACTTTCTTAAAATTTTTGTCACTTTTTTTAATAACAAACATCATTTTTTAATAAAAATGAGATTGTATGTCATTTTTTAATAAAAAAAGTAATACTTAACTTTAAAAAGCGACATTGTGTCCCTTTTTATTAAAAAGTACATAGTATTTTTTACTTTCAAAATTCTTTTCATATAATTTTTCAAAATGCCCCGAATTTTAAAGATATTTTTGTAAGTTGTCGTTATTCTAATTATTTCTTTTTTAAAAGTATTGGCTAGTTACCCCTTTTTGGTTCCTTACCGACCCAATTAAAATCTCATAGGTCTATCCATAATTTTTAAACCAATTGAACTTCTTCCAATTTTCCATTACATATTCTGAATCAAAATTGAGGGTTTTCAATCTTGGCCTGCCATTGGTTCTTCTTATTCTCAAATTCTCATCCATCTTCAATTCACCAAGTTTTTTTTTTTTTTTTTTTTTTTCACTTTTTGGCTATACAAGTAAAGTCAACGTGTAATAATCCCCTTTCTTTAATTCCATATAATTCTAATATTTTACGAATATGTAAAAGAAATGGTTGAACAACTTGACTATCCAAAAATAATTGATATTTTTGGCTCTAAAATCATAAAACAAGTTGTATTTAAGTGATCGTTTATAACATTTTTCCATTATTATTTGATTGTAAAATAAATATTTTGAGTATTTCGTTTTATTTATTGTTTTATTGTTGATTTTAAGTTAACAAATTTAGTTCCGTAAAATTTTTATAAATGGGAAAAAAAATTAATTGTTTGCTACGATTTAGGAGCTCAAATTTTGAAATTCGCCTCAAGCCTTACAAATGCATGAAGACTTCAACCTTTCTTCCTTAAAAGTACTCCATTTCTGGTACTAGTTTTAATTGTTCCCATTTTCTTCTGCCAATTATCAATGCAAGTCTGTGACATGATTGATTGGTATTTGCATAGAGGCTTGTCTACTGGAGATCGACCCACATGCGACCAATGCCTGCGAATTCATAAGAAGCTGATCACTTGCAGACACGGTAAACACTGTTTGATAACCAAACTATGAAACAGATTCCCTGTTGTTCACTATCGCAGTGAACTTGTATATACAGTGTCACAAAGAACCATCCATATGGAACTTCCAGACGTACCGTACTTTTATCTCTATATTCAGAAGGCGTATACTTGGTTCTCAAACCTATGTGTCTCTCTCTTAAGTTTTCAACGAAGTGATTCTATCTTTATCGTTGCGTCTAGGAGTGGACACCAGGAAGTTCGATCCAGATTTTAGAACTGGATCAGACCATTTCTAAACGATGATTTTATATATAGACTTGTTTGGTTCCACGCTTAAGGCAAGAAGCGAACTGGATTAGAATCAACCATTTCTGGCTCTGTCCTACAATAATTCTAAGTTATTCATAAGCTGCCAATAATTTTCAGCAAAGTTACCTTAATCTCCATAATAAAACACTATATTTGTCTTAACATTAATCATCCTTTTCATACACAAAACAAAAAACATAAACTCAGATTTTCGCATGGTTCTATCCATCTCCTACCATTCTATAAACACTACTGTGCTCTACCAGATTATCCTTTACGAGGTTTGATAGGTCCAAATCGAAAGCAGCCTTTCCCTACTTCCCCTCGACCACTCCTTTTGGCGGCACAACTTCGTCATCCCGGAATGGTGAAATCCTCGTCCAACTGAACTTACGAATTTTTGTGCGGGGCATCAAGTGGTTGAGATGGAATCATGGCAGCCCATGAGGTAATGGGAATTGGCCGTTGGTGGTGAGGCACTACCGGATTGCATTGGCGAGTTGCTGAAGATGTGGCAGCAGATAATGAGGCCGACGAGACAGCTACACGCTCACACTGAGGACACATGGTAAGGGTAGTAGGAGGGGACATATTCATGTAAAATTGTGGAGAGAGCTTCAGTGCTCTCAGCTCGTTCACCTCCTTCGTCAATCGCCTATTTTCCTCTGTCAGATTTTCACAGCAACGCCTTAGATACTCGCAATCTACCTCTGTTTGCTTCAACTTTGTCCTGCACCATTTTCAAATTTAATTTCATTGAATAACAAATCAAAAGATCTCATTTCATTTAGCTGTAAGTTTTGACTCGATCATTATGTAAATGATGAACAAATAAGCCTATTAGTGATTCAGCCACATGTGGTTGAACCAGATAAGCCACATACATTTCTATGTCTCGACAAATATACAATTTTCAGTTAACGTTACTCAGATCAACAGCAGTTAATGATTCAGGCAAAGAGGGTTTTACCCAATAAGCCTCGTTTGTGCATATGTTTCTATTCTATGCCCAAGACTAAACGTGCAATTTAGTAAATTTATAAAAATTATTCTGAAAAACAGCTCAAATTACCCTTTTTACCTAATGAATGCATGGACAATTTCTTCGACTAGGCATAATACTGAGACCTTTGTGACCTGTAAAACGACCAGGCATTTCAAAAGTGATCGTTTCTCGTGCATCATTACAAGATTAATTGCTATGACGTTGTTTATTTTGTCGTTGATCTGCAAAGACGTCGTCATTTTAATTTTTTCGGAAACCAATAAAGTGTAACCAAACACGTTATTTTGGTGAACTACCGTTGAATAAAGTAATAAAAGCGGGCTTTTAGGGCCTATTCATCAGAAGTCGACAAACTGCGGATAAGGGGGGAGTTATTGGATGTACCTATGGAAAGCCTCGGTTAATAGTATTATTGGATTTCAAATGCAAAACCACTTAACACGAAGTACATAATGCAAAACACTTTGATCTTAATCAACCCCTAACAAATGTTGTGACCAAAAACTCGAGCTACGAGCTGAGACATGGAGTCTGAGGTCCCCTCGCGTGAAATGAATTGTCCGGTTACTAGGATTTTTCGGTCATTCTCTTCGTGTGCGCCCTTACTAATCCTATGTAATTATTGAGAGTCGTGAATCCTTTTTCGCTAGTCCATTCGAGTAGGGCTTCAGTGATCCTATAAAATTATTGATAGCCACGAGATAACATTTATTGCGTGACAATAATACCCTTGACAAAGCCCGAAAAATGACTAACCTTGCCCTCCTGTTCTGAAACCACACCTCCACTTGTCTTGGTCTCAGATTTAGCTGTTTCGCCAAAGCCAATTTTTGCTTCTGCAAACACACACATACACACACATTAGCATGAAAAGCACTAGCTACAAACAAAAAACCCTTTGACCCACCCAAAAATTTCCAAAATGCCACTCACCGGAGTGAGTGTGTTATGTTCCTTGAAAGTCTCTTCAAGCACCACCCCTTGTTCTTTAGTCAGCCGGAGCTTCTTCCTCCCTGCAGCATCGCCACCGTCCTCCTCCACCTCCATAGAACTCGAGGCCCTCTCTGCCTCGTTCTCTTCTCTCTCACTCCTCTTCCCACTCACACTTGAAACTGTACTATTTGGTGATGAAACCATCACATCTTCCTCAAGGTCTGCTACAGTTATTGGTTTATTCATGTCAATCCCTCGGAGAAAAGATCTACCCTCAACATGCCTATCTGAAATATCAGATTAATTTTAGAAAAAAAGTTAGATTTGATTTTAACAACATATCTTAGCATTAATTCTGTAAAATAACATACAATCTGAAAATGGAAAAAAAAAAAATTAATGAACCTACACAAAAACCATTCCAAAGAATATTTACCAGCAGATAATTGAAACGGATCACTGCTTGAAGACTTCTGATTCTGCCGCTGCATGAAAGCCAAAGGAGATTGCAACAGATTCAACGGAAACGGAGGAGGTGGAGGTGGAGGTGGTGGTGGCGCCAGTCGCTGAGGCGGCGGATTCTCATTCTGTGGGCACCTCAAACTCAAACTCAACCCTAAATCATCACATTTCTCAGCCATCTTTAAATCCTTTCTCTCTTGAGCTATATATATAGGTCCCGTCCAGATGAAGAAAAGAAACAAGGGATGACAGAAGGAAGAAATGGGTGGTCTTTTGTTTAGCAGGAGAGTTATAGCTTTAGAGCAATACATATATATACACATACATAGAGAGAGAGAGAGAGAGAGAGACAGTCTTTAGGAGGTATAGATACAGATAGATTAGATAGGTATTCAATGATAGTTGTGTCAGATATAGCTATTAATTGGGTGGATCATTTGATGGGATTTGGCTTTCAAATTGCATTTGCACGCCCATTTTCGCTAACCATTGGATTCTATTCCATTCCAACACTGCCTTTTGTAACTCATACATTTAAGGACCTATTTGTCACCTCAATAGTTAGCCAACTTATCGCAAAATATATAACTTTATTTCCAAAAATACTATTCATCGTTCATTTCTATCTATTTTTAAATTTTCTCGTTTATTTGGAGTCTGAGTAAAATTTAATTTATAAAATTAATATTATTCTAAAAATCATCCTTAACTTGTACAAATCGAGTTGGGTATAGATTAAAAATCGGAAATTTAAAATCCGTAAAAATCTCTCAAACGAAAGTTTTATCGGATTATGAGCCGTGAATCCTTCAAATATGAGAATAATAAATTAGTAAAACTAGCGAATTCGACGTAATACTTCAATAAAAATAAAATTTAAACAATTATAAATTTAAGCAAGCATGCACTTGAAAAGTTGCATTTTAGGCGCTATAAAGTTCTATCAAACATTTCAACTGTGAGTTAAGTCAAATCTTGCTTTCTCTCCGTTCAAGTGTAACTCCTCATTGAAAAGGAGCTTTAATTTACCGTTGACCATTGACTGGGGTGTGATTTTCTCGTGAAAGATATTACTACGCGCTTGACGCCACGTAACCCCACTGCCACGGCTCTTGAAATTGTTGGCAACTTGGCAGCTAGCGTGTGACACACGTGCGCTTGGCGATAAATTACAGGGTTTTCCTTTCCTTTATTTTTGTTAATTAATGAATGAATTACTGTTAATTAGAGCATTAATTAGAGTAGTTCAAATTAATTAGGCGTAACTGATTGTGTTGAAAAATATGTCAACAAAATTATGGAGAAAAATGTGACATGTTTAGTACTGTTACGTTAAAGTTAAACTATGTGGTAAACTGGTAATCAATGCACATTATATTATTAAATGTGCCACTAATTTATTTAATTAATTAACATACATTTAATTGGAGGTTACTTGTTTAATTATTATGCACATGTTGATGATAAATAATTATAATTTTTTTTTAATTTTTGTTTTACGAATAAAAAAGAAAAGAAAAAATACAAATTATTTCATTTGTTGAGAATGCAACATATTCCCTTCATTTTTTTCATACCAATTAATTTTTGTCAAAATCTTTCCTAGTTTACCCCTATTTAATTTTCAGTATGTAAAATTAAATCATTGTTGGAACTAATAAAGAATTTGAAAAGAAAGAAGAAATGAGAGTTGTTCCATATTTTCAAGAAGTGAGAAATGTGTGTATTTTGATGATTTCAAGAAATTGACATATTAAGTGAGGAAAATTTAATAAGGGTATATTGGTAAATGACCACAACAATTCTGCATTTGGAAACATACCTATATATTTGGGACAAGAGAAAAATGAAACTCGACCTATATAATTGGGACGGAGCGAGTATTAAGTTCGAGTGACTGAGCCAAAATTTGAATTCAATGAGACCTATTTCATCTACGAAAAATAAATTTCAAACACAAAATTCAATAATATTAAAAATATTAGAAACACCTAATTGTCCTTTTTTTAAAAAAAATTGAATTGAATGAATTCCTCAATTAAAATGTTATTTTTACGTACACAAATTTTTTTTTAAAAAAAATAAGAATATTAAAATGTAAGTGGAGACAGAGAAGAAGCGAGATGACAAGATACATGTTCTCGTAAATATTGAAATCGAACCAAAATTGGAATACGATTTATCGTTTTGTTCAAATTTTGTTAAAATATTTCGAATTGATGTATTCGAATTTATTAAAACTATATTTCAAGTTGATCGTTTTGTTATATTGATTTGAAAATTATAAAGTCGATAGAGTTCTGTTATAAAAGGATCAAGGTTAAAGTGGTAAATGGATCGATAGTTATCGAACTTTTATTTTATTTTTGACCAAAAACATGAGCCGCTTGTGCATCACCAAAGAGCTGGCTCGCCAGCAAAAAAAACATAAGCAACTTGTCCGAATATTTTGTTGCTCGACTCGTACGTGGGGACGAACGAATCGCCCTACTTTCCACATCCAGCCGAGGGAAGTCCTAAAATCCAGAATTAAGGTGGGGAGGGAGGTCACGTGGGAGAACAGGATGGGTTCACCGTTCACGTGCATATGAGCATGCAATGTTTGCCCACGTGGAAGCATGTGGGCTACTGTAGAGCAAAAATCGTGCCACCTTGTCGCTTCTTAATCCGACAGCACGTCGCTACAATCATTGAATACTTGCACTATAAATCATTCCATCATAGCTTCTCCTTCATGGCCATTCCTTCCTACGCGCTTAGCTATAGTTGATCACGCGCCTTAATCAATTTAATAGAAAGCCCAACATCCCCTTTATTTTATGTTAACAGACTTGTGATTTTAGTCAACTCGAATAAATATTTTAGTACATAGCGTAACATGATCCTCTATGAGATTAATTGTAGGTATAACCTACGAGGACTCGAGAATTTTAAATACAGAATAAGATATGTTAATTTGAAGTTAAGCTCCACAGGTGAATAAAATCTTCAATATGAGCAGTAAAATTGCATTTAAACGGAATTTGAATTCAGACAATAAAACTGCTACACACGCTTAGACATTTTCTCCAATTCGATTGAAAGTCATGTACAATTTTAACTTTCACATTTACAATTTCAATCTCTAAGGACCAAAATTTGCATATTTAAATAGTTTGGGATCCAAAGGTCTCACATTTGAAAATTGAGGATCCATAAACACATTGCGTAAAAGGTTGGAAAGTCAAGACCTACTTCTCGTCCTAGGTCCCCTGTGTCACTATTGGGTGCTTGTCCTATTGGGAGCCTGTTCCATTCTCATTTCATTGTATGTTTTTCCTATAATTTAATGACATGTTTTTTAACATCTACTATTATTAATCACTTATTCGTCACTTATTCTTATCATATTATAATTTGAGTGACTTACAATTTTACCCAAAGTATGAATCATTACACACATTAAAATAATTAAAAAGAAAGTATGAGCCCCACCAAATAGCAACGAGGGAAGATTATGTGATGATAAGCTCTTAAAAGTAGTGGAGAGGTTCACGATAGTATTGATCTCACATGATGGACATCGGTAAATTTTGACGGATTAAACTGGTTGCACTGGCTCAATGACGGGGGCTATTGAAAGTGGCTGAAATGGCAATTTTTGATTGGCAGAATTTATTTATTTTTTACCTTTTTTAATTACTAACGAAAATTTGCCAAGTGTAAATCTGTATAAAACTCTGTCAATGAGCTTGTTCCTGTAGCAGATCTCAATTTTGACTAAGTATATGAACCTCTTGGTGAAAGAAGGTGGACCCATATGAGTACATTGCTAAGAGAGTTAGATGATGATGTGGTATTTTTCTTGGCAATGAATTGTTAGGAAGAAGTGGTAACAAAAAATCACACTTTAAACTTATAAGAGAATTCAGCCCAAAATAATCTAATTCAGGCATTAGATCTCTTCAAATCTCACTTAAGCGTGCTGCTATGTGTTTGTATTGGGACCCACGATTTAATTAATCACCATACAAATGAAGATTGATTAGGATATTTAAACATGGAGTGGCCCACGTGTTATGCTTTGCAACTTGTGTAAGCTCTGACCACTTAATTTCTTGATGAATTATGCTAAACGTACATTCCGTAAGTTACATTTTGTATCAAATTGTATGGAGATTTAAAAAGTGTTGGGACGGAAAATGTGTTGTTTTTTAAAATTGTCCAATCATGTGTCAACACGTGACACAATATAAAAAAATATTTAAAATAAGATGTGCATGTAGCGTGATCTTTCATTAATTTATTATCTTTCTAGCACCTCACGTGACACTCACGTTTTCCTGACGTGGAAACTAAGTCCATGTTTGATGAGCCTCAAAACCAAAAAATAAAGTTTTGAATGGTAAATTTTTGAAGAATGTATGGTTAAAAAGTAAGGAAAAGTTGAGGTTTATATGCAAAAATATTTTATGTAGAAAATAAAAACGTAGAAAAAAAGATTTTTTGATAATGATTGTCAAACAAGAGCTAAAATTAATAGAAAACCAATCATAGGAATTTCACACCAAAAATAATTACAATATTGCTATATGTACATTTTGGTTTACATCATGACTTATCGAATTTATAATGGCACAATTTCACATCATCTTTCACATTTCACACATTTAATCCATTATAGTACCTCCATCTTATCAGGTTGTCAACCAAAGTGTAAACGAAATTCTACAAATAGGATAATTCAAGAAACTATTAGAAAAATTTTAGAAAAACACCACTTGTACAGTGTTATAAGTTACATTTTGTATCAAATTGTGTGGAGATTTAAAAAGTGTTGGACGGAAAAATGTGTTGTTTTTTAAAATTGTCCAATCATGTGTCAACACGTGACACAATATAAAAAAATATTTAAAATAAGATGTGCATGTAGCGTGATCGTTCATTAATTTATTATCTTTCTAGCACCTCACGTGACACTCACGTTTTCCTAACGTGGAAACTAAGTCCATGTTTGATGACCCTCAAAACCAAAAAATAAAGTTTTGAATGATAAATTTTTGAAGAATGTATGATTAAAAAGTAAGGAAAAATTGAGGTTTATGTGCAAAAATATTTTATGTAGAAAATAAAAACGTAGAAAAAAAGATTTCTTGATAATGATTGTCAAACAAGAGCTGAAATTAATAGAAAACCAATC